AAACCCTGACCTCTACTAGCACTATTTTAACATTAAACAGTGTTATTACATCGTCACATAATGTTGAAAGCCTGAACAAACAGTCGTGTGTGTATTCGAATATGTCCTCACCATCTGAGGAGTATCAAGTTCGTCTGGGTAATCAATGAATAATCTGGGGCTGCGGATTGACTGACCGATGAAATCGGTACGTTCACACTGCCATGATGTTTAGTCAGGGTCGACGCTTGAAGGAGGAGAGGGGGGGGGGGGGGAGGGGGATACCCCTTCCTAAATTGAAAAGTACTCTCTTTGAAATGATGTCGGTAAGTCGGACAACTAAAGATGTTAAAAAAAACATCGTCTTCAGATATCAAAAATAAGAATTGAACTGATCTATTAAAATGGGAAGAGAAGTGATCTATGTTGCCTTGGATTGGAGAAAAACCTCGGGACTGTCTGCACATACTGACGTAGACACACTCCAAATAGAGAAAGAGAGATGGAGACAGACATACAGAAGGAGAGAGACAATGAGACAGCGTGAGACATACGGAGAGAGAGAAAGAGAGAGAGAGAGAGAGAGAGAAAGGAGGGAGAGAGAGAGCAGGCGCGGATCCAGGATTTCTTAGGGGAGGGGGCCCAACTTTTTTTTTTTTTGCTCCCGAAAATTTGAAAATCGCGCCGGCCGAAAAGTCGCTCAGTGGGGGGTACATAGCACAATTTTTTTTTTTTTTTTGCTCCCGAAAATTTGAAAAACGCGCCGGCCAAAAATTCGCTCAGTGGGGGGGGGGGGGGGGGGGGGGGGGTGTTTCTTTTTTGGATCCTCAAAAAAATTTCAATTTGCACCCCCCCCCCCCCCCCCCTTGAGCGCCAGGGGGGGGGGGGGCAACCCCCCAAAAAGGTAAAAATCACGTGATTTTACATGATTTTTTTTTTCAAGGGGGGGGGCCCGGCCCCCCCCCCTGGATCCGCCACTGAGAGAGAGAAAAGGAGGGAGAGAGAGAGAGAGAGAGAGATAGAGAAGGGGAGGGGTGTCCATGTTCTTTATGGGTCGATGCGATCTGTTTGTGTGGCTGTTCTTCACATTTTGAACATATCATTTGATATTATGAGCATCATGATAATTATTAAGTACACTTACATTTCTCCTTCTCTTGGTGTGCTTATTGACTCGGATCTAGAAAAAACTTCATACTTATCAGGTATTATATATTTGTAATGAATTTAAAATGTTTAAAACAAAATAAAGTGGTCGAAAAGAGCCGAGTATATCTTTCTCGAATTGTTATTATTACTCAGCATGATTGAATTAAGTTTTAAGTTCAGATTAATTTTCCATAATGAAACGTGCTACTTTTGTGATACTTCACAATGTGTTCACATGTGCAAAATTAATTATTTCATTACCCCCCCCCCCCTCCCCCTCTCCCCGACTCCTTTCCATTTGTACCATTATCTTTTGTATATCAAATAAATAATTTTGTCAAATGATCATCAACATTTATGTATAGATAATATTAACCTGCAATTTCGACCCGCCCCGTTCATACCTTTTTTACACATCAACATTGACCAACAACAAAAAAATATCCTTTAATCACCATCAAGCCTTCCAACCAACTCGGGTCTCGCTGATCCTAGATGCATTGGCCCCCGGAGAGGAACTTTATACTTCTGAATCATGAGAGACGCCTTCATCGTTGATTGCATATGGAAATACTGTAAGATGATTTTTTTTTTGTCTTCCTTTTTTATTATGATGGTCAAAATCATATTTCACCGGTTTATGGTTCTCTCACATTACGGAAATTGGAGAAACATGACAATTACAGAGCCCCTATTATTCTAGGTGACGATGATATTTTCATGGGGAAAACACGTGTTAGTAATAATTCATAATTGGATTGTTTCGCATCCAAATAATGACTGTGTCAAGTCATGAAGTCAATTCTGCACTGCCCTACATCTTTCCAGCAGATATAATCTAATAACTTCAGGCATTATTACAAGCGTACGTGTTATAAGGATCGTCTCTGACGGATAAAGTAGTGACTAAATGAAGGTTTCACATCTGTTTACAACTGCTTCGCCCTGGCTTAACATTGGCACTCTTCTACTAAAACTAAAGCAAACATGACATGCTTTTGGCTTCTTACAGAATTCATAAGAATCGTATTACCTCAGGAGAAACAGTATTCATACCTTTAAATTTCCCCCACATAATTTATTGTTCGAAAGCTTATTCCTTGAGTGAAAAGTTAGAGTAAAAAGTGTGGTACTTCTGATGATTCTATAATTATATTCATCAAAGTACATAATTATATCTATGTTTCATTAGCTGCGAGAAACATTCCAGATGTTATCCAGATTGTTCTTATGATAATTCCATACATATTCCATCATGAACTTAAAGTCCTCCACTGAGTCATTTAAAGAATGATATATCGATATTCGCATTCTAATCCCCGGTCAATAATCGGAGCAAACAATCTTTTTGCAGTGACGTCATTGAAGGGCGACAGTGGTATTGAGCATTACGGAAATTGGCGGGAAAAAATGACAATTACAGAACCCCTTTTATTCTAGGTAACGATAATATTTTCATGGGGAAACACGTGTTAGTAACAATTCATAATTAGATTGTTTCGCATCCAAATATAACTGTGTCAAGTCATGAAGTCAATTCTGCACTGCCCTACATCTTTCCAGCATCAATAATCGGAGCAAACCACCTTTTTGCAGTGACGTCATTGAAGGGCGACAGTGGTATTGGACATGATGGACGAGGAGGGGCACTAAAGACACATAAAGACAAAATTGCCTTTCTGAAACTGCCCCTTGGGGGAGTGAAGGGGTATTATTTGCAGGTACTTGCAACAATAGAGATACGGAAATTGACCAATTCATTATTTAATTTTAAGAGACGAAGTGGGTGGATGAGGGCATTAAAGAAAAACCATTAAAATCAGCAAAGTATAATTTTTGTATTCATTGCTCTTCTCGAATCGGCCCTGAAGGTGTTTTCTCTATATTTGTAATACAACTAACGTGCCCATCTTCATGATCTCCGATTAAGTTAAGAATTTATCTGTCCTTTAGCGCCAAGAGAACGCCTGCTATTAACTCACGTCAACCCGGTGCTATTATCGTCTTGATGTTTATTATTATAAAGAAAATTAACTTCTTTCTTCAAATCAGTCACTATCTTGAGAAGAATGCACACCCTGTATGTAGTTTATTCTCATTGCACATGTTGTATAACGAGTTTATTATTTTGTGGGGAATAGGGACACAACAGCTGTTTCCGTTTAAGATTAATATTTTAATATTATAATAGTTTAATATTAAAGGTGTCCCTGTAATCATAAGTATGTCGTCTTGATGCGAGACTTAATATTTAATACGGCTTGAACAAAATACCGACTTTAGGAGCTTATTCACTGACAATATAAAATGTATCTGAACAATCGTAACTATATACCAGACGTAGGGCATATAATTAGTTTTCATAGTCAGTTATTTCTTTGAGCTGCATTTATTTGCAATGTGTAAGTCGTCGGGGTGGTGTCAGGGTATTTATTGTTGGAATCGGGACTAGATAAACAAATGTTTTTAAAAAGATGTTCTCACACTTTTCTGACGCGATGTGTAAACAATCTCTGAAAAGAAAGATAGAGAGAGAGGGAGAGAGAAGGGGAAGAAACTCTATGGAAGCATGCTTGACAAATATTTGGGCTGTTGGGTAGGGAGGGGGTTCCACATTATAGTCCTCCGACATTAATTTGCTCCGGTGACAGTGGTTCCGGGCTATGTTTCGTTTAACAATATAGAGTTATAGCCGTAGGGTTGTAATATTGTTTCAGGTTCAGTTTGTAGGGTAAGGGTTAGGGTAAGGGTTAGGGTAAGGGTTAGGGTAAGGTTCACGGTTGGTTTCAGGATTGAAGTTAGGAATTTAGTTAGTGTTAGTGTTATTGTCACAGTAACAAGTGTCGTACTATCCGGGGTACCATCCCACTTATACCTTCTCACACCAGAAACGGAACAAACCGCCCCAACCTTTAAAGTGATATAATTATATTCTGGCATTTCACTTTCGTGCACAATCATTTGACGTCACAAGAGAGACTTTATAAAGAGAAAGTTGAGTTCTGGGAAGAGGTGACAAATAATTTGTGAGCGTTATCATTGTATTATGCAAGTGTGGAAGAACATCAGATAAAAAAATGTTCCATGAAAAGTATCGCTTTTCAAATGCCTTAATATTCTAAATTAGCATTTAACATCATAAAAATCGGGACGGATTTTGATGCCACATGTTCGTGTAGTCCTATATACATCTTTCTGTGTACAGTACCTGTAACGTAACCATGATTTGGCCAAATTTCTTATCATTTTGATGATTCCAGAACCTTGCAGTACTCACCAATACTTATATGCTATACAGTAGATGATCAACCTTTTCTGATCGATTCCACAACGTTTCTTTCACAATGCAATCGCATGACCACAACTCAACTTTATCTTTAACTCGTACTCGTTTGAAGGAATTCATATGTATTTTGGGTATACACAGTACCCCCCCCCCCCCCCCCCCCCCCCCCCCCCCCCCACTCAGAGGTCGGAATGACCGCATGCGTGTTGCCAAAATGTCCGGTAAAGGGGTACTTTTCGTGCGACAAAGTCCGGCCCGAGAATTGTAAAAAAAAGGGGTGTATTTGACTTTTCACCCGGAGATTTCTTTAAAAAGGGGGTGTTTTTCTTTTTTTCTCTCATCTCTTTGGACTCCTGAGAAATTATTCCGAATTTAGGGGGGTACATTAAGCATTTTTCCTGATTTAGGGGGGTCTCCAAGGCAGGAAAAGCCCGCGAAAAGCCCGCGAAAGGGGGGGTTCGGAAATGTTGGCAGTCCTCAGATAGGGGGTGCTTTCAAAAAGAGGGTACGAGCATATGCGTACCCTAAATAACACTGAGTGGGGGGGCCGGGACACAGTAAAAGGGTTATTTTACAGAAACTGGTAATACAAAAAAAGGGGCATTAATGACGCGTTTGATGATGGAAGTACTTTAAACGTCATTATACCGTCCGTATTTAAGTCAAGTGATAATAGAGTTGAATCTGCTTTATTCTGGGTTTATCATCGTCATTTGTATAAAAAAATTAAAAAATTGGTCATCATTAATATTCCGAAAAATTTATTCGATTTCACTGAATCATCTCCGAATTAATAATCGTCAAAATGGTTTAAGAATTCTTCGAGTTTTTTAAGATTTTCATCCTTGTGTTCCATATCCTGCTCCGCTCGCCTAAGCGTGTTGGCAAGGTCACGCTCCCTGGCCGGCTTCGATTCCTTTTCCTTCGCCTCCGCCGCCATTGCCCACGTTCCCGCTGGCGGTGCGCTGCTAAACTCTCCAGTGGTCGTCGAGTTCTTTTCATCGCCGTTATCGGTGGTCTTCGAAGATGACGAATCGTCCTCGGCGACTTCAGTGATGCTCCCCATGCTCTCGAGCTTGCCCTTCTCATGGTGGTAGAAGAGAGCACCGTAGTCGAGAGAGCGGCGTTTCAGCATCCTCGGCCTCTCGGCAGACGGTCGGGTCGTGATCGAGAGTCGACGCTCGGCGTGCGTCGGGGTATTTCGATGCTCTAACCAACCTTGTTACCATAGAAACCAATCAAACACGAAAAAGAAAATCAGTTTTAGCTCAAGGTGAGGATAATCAAAAGTGGCTGTTATAACTGAGAGATTCGCTTCCACTGATGGACCATAATACTTTACAACAAGATTTATTGCAAGAAAAAAAAGGGAAAGAAAGAAGGAAAGCTGTAAGATACTTAGGAGATATAGTATGGAAAGAGAAAAAAATACGTAAAAATTGTGATCGAACCCCTTCACATGCAATATTGTGTTACCTGGTGGAGGTTCGGCCCCCTCCGATTCATCTGACTCGTCATCATCATCATCGTTCTCGTTGCTTTGAGCTGCGATGACCGCTAGTCTATTCAACACATCCTGTGGAAGCAGAGCCGGAGGTCTGTTCTTTAGAGTTCCTTCTCCTTCGTCGGATTGATTTCCTGTGTTGTTGTCGTCGTCGTCGTCGTCCTCTTCATCCTCACTTTCGATCACGCGATGGAGTATCGGGAACACGGCATATTTGATCTCTTCATCGTCACCCGCAAGTTTGATAGTTCCTAATTTGTATAGAAATACATGAAGAGGTTGTATGATGTATTACTGGCAAAATATTAGTATGGAACATTGAATAAGGAAATGTAGAAAACATGTTCACTCATGGCGTCATTGTGATATAATGAAATTTAGTCTGAAGGTAAACCATAATTATGTAAAATTGGTTGAAACATCACTTTCGAATCACATTTTTACCATAAAAATTATACAGAGAACAAAGTGCAAATGCTTTGTCAGACTTTGTATATTTTATTAAGAAGAGCAGCCAGTGAATGTTTTCCTGAAAGTTAAGTTTATTGTGAATCTCTATTTACCTTTGGAGTAATCTGTCGTCACCGTGGACATTCTCCTTGTTTCAGTCTCGATCACCGTTACATCTTTGCCTTCTGATTCGGAGTTGAACTGCATCAGTAGCGGGAACTTGTCATTGTAACCTTTCCATCCCGTGTAGACTGTGCTGTAAGGTTTATCCACCCATTCCTTGTGGTCTTTCTCGTAGCCAGGTATTGCAGCGACAACGCGGTGTTCCGCCGCGTTCAGAGGCCGACGGAGGCCAAAGAAAGTCTGCGGCGGAGCGGGAACTTTCCTCGGCTTCGGGTTGCCTTCTTCGCGGTACTGCCGACTGTAGTGGCCCAACTCCGGGCTCCAGGGTCTGTCAAGAAGAGGCAGTCCTTTAGACCTTTCCTTGCGAGCCTTAACCCTGTCCTGCCTCAGTCTCTCCTCCTTCCTGTCTTGGGTTGACTCGAGAAGCTGGAAATTATCAGAATCAAAGAATCCCCGATCTGGCGTGTTTCGGCCTATTTGAGTAGTACCGGACGAGTACTCCGGACTCTTTCTTTGAAGTATCGGTGATGACATTTTAATCATACATTTTGAGTTTCTTTAATTTTTAGTATGTTGAGTCCGATGTGATGTGATGATCACTACAGAAAAATGGACTTAATGCTTAACGACTTCGTTGGCAACATCACGGCGCTCGCTATAAAGCAACAACGTCACAATGCGTATTACTTTTATGACTTTTGCGTCATAATGTACTGCGCGTATAGTTATGTACGTACTGCATGGGATCATCGAAAATCTTTGGTTTTGCTCAAATTTGTTTGCTCATGGGAAATCATGGTTTCTTAAATTACCAAATATAAAAAGGTCGAGTCCTATATGATTTGATAAAAATGGACGAAATATCAACATAAACATGTTTGTGACGGATTTTTACAGAAAAGCAATTTTCACCGCATAGAGACATTGTAAATGAAATATTTAGCTGTCGGCCTAGTGGACTGTTGGTTTCGTGGATTGTCGGTCTCGTAGACTGTCGGGCTTGTTGAGCTGTCGGTCTAATGAACCTTTTTAAAAAAATTCTCAGAAGGCCTACCTTAACAAAAGTGTTTTCTCCTTGCCTGTTTCATTGCTAAATAATAGTTGATTTGTGCAATTCAATAAAAGAATGATTCTCCGGTTCAAAGTATTTACGGAACTTGTACAACATCTGCTAAATATTTTTATATTTTACAAATTCTTTTTTGTTTACAGTCACTTCTATATAAATATTATGATTCAGATGTAAATGGTGATAACTCCTCTATCATAATGGTACGTAGAGATGCATCTATGTTCTGTCTGCTCGAGCAAGAATTGCTTTTCTTCCAATCGCCTACCTGTATTATATTATATAATACTACAATGCACAATGTTACGAAAATGCCTTGAGTAAATGAATATTCACACATCCTCGTTTCGAACACGCTATGCAAAACCTAATCTGTTGTCTGAAGTTCTCCTTTTATTAGCGAAGGAAAACTCAGTGGAGAATGTACTGCATACACACCGACAATATATACCTCACATTTTCTTCCTATCCAGACTATTATAATTGTATTTACTGCTTTCTGCACCCTGTAACTGGCGGATATAAAATGTATGAAAAAAAGAAGAAGAAAGCATGCATCCGTGTTCTAGCTGCCCTCGACCTTTACTCAAGTCAGACATTGCATATATTCAACGTTGCTGTATCACAGTTAGAGTCGCTCCCGGGCAGAAACTCTACCCGCAAATCTGATGAAAACGCCAAGTTGATTGAAAGGATATGACCAGCTGCTCGCCAGGAGATTAGAAAAACAAGAAGAAAGAAAGAATAGAAAAAAACTCTCTCTCAAAAAAAGTCTTGGAGCTGTAAAAGTGAGCCATAAACTTCTACGCGACGATATAATATGTCGTATTTAGGAACATAAATCACCTTATTTGTACATGCATGCACTCTAAAACTAAAGGGTTGAATCAACATTTGAGAGTGCCGATGTGTAGCAACGCGTGGTGTATAATTCTCTTTATCTTTCTGGCTTTAGCACAATTTTGCGTCTAGCATGTTAAAAGTATTAAAATATATTCTTTTTTTCTTCAAAACGCTTTCTTTCCTCGACACTTCACAGTGTTTATTAAACTCCTGTGTATGTTTACTACTAATTCAATTAAACCCGTCCCTCGGTTTGATCACGTTTGACAACCAAACATTTATCAGATTATTGCTTTATTAAACCCAATTTTAAACAAAAGCGTTAATACGCCCAGTGTTCGTTTTAGATTTTAGTAGAATGCGGGCCTCTAGGTTTATATTTGTAAAATAAATTATGAAAATTGTTGTTTGTTGTTGAAAGCTTTCGCTTCGTATTGAATAATATGTCAACATCTTCTTAAGATATAGACGTCGTGCTTTAAAGAAATGAGAGTCAATTATATTTTTCATCATCCTGATCATGATGACAACTTCTATGCCATAAAGATAATGAATATGAAATTGATTGCCGCTTACACTGTGTTGAATGTGTTACTCTTCAGTTTCTAGGATTATTGAGAACGTGCCATTATTATAGGAAGAGCTGCCAAATAAATCTTACAAAATGACCTTGAGGGTAACTAGATGATGACTTCAAGAGAATTGCGCAATGAACAATACAAAACAAATATACTAACATGTGATTCCTCCAAACATAGCCAATTAATCGAGCCAAGGCTGGACAGATGCGCCAGTATGACTAGAAACGACAATCAATTCAATTTAAATTTGAGATTCACTTTCCTGGCATGCATGATTTTTGTCCATAATATTGATGTAGTTTTATGTCGACTTTCCAAACTGCAGCAATAAAGCAATCAACAATCGGTAAATATAGAAAGCAATACATCGGTGTATTATTATATGAATTAAAGGAAAATGTGCACAACCCAGGGGCGTCGTGGGGGAGGGGGGGGGCAGTATGTAATTAAAATGTTAATCTTGTGAAGCGTATGAAAAGCTTCATAGCAAAGTGTTTGAACCACTCCCTCACAACATGAAGATAATGACATGAATAATGTTAAATTTCAACCGCCATTAATAATAAGACATCAGAAAATCATCGTGATGCAGTATATTTATAAATCTCGAAATTAATATAACTTCGAACAGTCTTTCCCTCCTGTATTGCGCCAGGGTATTCGGTAGCAGTCAAATTCAAAGGAAAACACGTCAACATCTTCTCTTTCTTCATTCTTCCTTACTTTTTTTTTGTACCCATTCGAATGATTCAAGAGCGTGAAGCAAGCAAACACCTTTATTTCTCTGCATGGCCAGAGGCAAAACTCATCAGTACAACGTCAACTATTCGCGGGGATTTCTTTGCCTCGACGCTGTTGGCGTCTAAATTAAAGTCACGCGTAACTATTACGAGGTTCGCAGCCCCATATGGTGGACGGTGAAAAAGGCAATTATGAGAGGAGAAAGAAGGAGAAATGCCCTTGTCTGACAAGCAGTTTATTCAGATAAAACATGCTATTAGCTGCACGATTGTCATTCGTGGAGAATTTTAATATAAAGTTGATATGCGACCTTGTGCTTGGACGTGACTGCTCTTTTCGTTCACGTCGCGTTCTGTTCGAACATGCATTTCAGGAAAATATTTGTCATTGTTTTTCAAAGATTCCCATTTTCTATTCTATATCCATAACAACATGGAGTAGACCTAAAGACGACCCACCCCCATATTGTGTTTGCAGGCATATTTACAGGTTATATTTATGCCTCAGATTACAAGAAATCGGGTTAACTATTTCTGAGGGAGCATGTCTCTACGGATAACAAAAAATCCTAAAATAAAATCATGATGGTACTAATCTTGAGTGAAACCGTAGATTGAAATTGATAATATTTATTCATGATGCTTTGTTCTGTGTATTATATTAAACCCAGTAAAAATGCACTAAGTTGATCTTCAATTTTGCTTCGTAGTGGTTCATCTCTGAATCTAAACATTGACATGATAATTCTGTCAACTCAGGGATCTTTTGACAGCAGGCTTGTCTTCATCTTACTCTTTGCCATGAATATTTATCCCCGAAAGCATCTTTATTATCGATATTCCGTGGGCTCCACGATGCTGTTGCATACCTCCTGCTATTGCCATGGCTACGGTAATGCAATCTTGAATTTGCTCTAATCCGCGGGATATTTTCTGCCTGCGCTCTTCAAAATTGTCCTGTTTCCATGTAATGTACCCCGTAGTCAGTGTAAACAACATGACGTCTTTCTCATGGTAATTGTTTTCTTACTGCCTTTTTATTCCATATATCCAAGACACATGATGATAGGATTGATGAGATGTATTTAGGGCTTGTCACATAGTTTGTCAGGCGTTCTCGCATCGGATCTTTGTTTTTTCGGTTTTTATTTGTGTTGTGATACCCAATATCCCCACCGATCAACCAGCATTTTAGATTAAAAGGGTCTTTAAAAAGCTCGATTTCTTTTAGAGTGCAGGCCTGTATGATTATTTCGAAACGTATCATGTTTCCTAATTGGAGGAGAATGTACTTTTAAGGAACTAAATTACAAATATAAATAGCAACATACTTCTAAGAAAAATAGGATAGGATATAAAAGTTAATTCCCTCTTTGTCAAATTACTCTTGTAAGACAGACTGCTGATATTCAATCAATATTCAGTTTGAATGAGAAGGTTTACCTTCTACTACAATATTGGTTCCGTAATTTTATATATAGGCTTAACCCACGTTTTTCCTGTCATTTTTTATCCTTTTCTCTAGCTTTCTCCTTCTGATGACAGACGCAGACGACATCAAAAAGATCACGGATTTTAGGATTGACGCACACGGTTTTCCCGCGCACGCCCGCACACTTTCTCACTAATTGCATACATGCCAGGCCACACGTACTGTGTTCCGATGTTGGAGCATCGACATTCTGACGAAAACTCGATGACTTTCGAACGTGCCAACTCCTTGGATTTTCACCCTCTGCCGTTGAGCGGAAAGCAATCCAACTACTGAAGGAAAAAGTCATCGCAAAGCCTCCCACAATGAGGATTGATACTTAACTTTCTCCGTCCATGTTTAAGCATCGCCATTTGAATTATTTACCTGCATGGGATCCATATTTACCTGGATATAAGTTCTTTTGTTGCTGACAAATAAATAATTATGATGCCGTCCTATAACCTGATGGTTTTGTTGCTGCTGTGTGCAGCTATGAGTCTTCAGGTTGAAGCTCGTCGAAACTGGCAATATTATTGGCGCCCTTGTTGGCACTGGACTTGTCAAAAGGTAAGCGAAAGTCCAAACGTTCTTTTTTTGTTTGGAAGAGAAGATGCCTTTTTTTTTCTACCATAAGTGAATTGATTTTCTGATCATGTTTATAAATGTCAATAATCTTACGAAGTTTATTCAGTCAACAGATTCTCATTGCCACTAATACCAACTTTTGAAGGAAAAAAAGAAGAATCGTTTTAATATTTTCTATACCAATATATTACTCTGAGAGGCCAATATCATAAACGCAAAGTTTTCATCAGGGATTTTCATGAGATGGTCAGGAACAATTGTGATATAGGATATGTAACGAACATAAGGAAATATATTAATCATCATCGGAATCGGAGAATAATCTTCTTTCTTTTGTCAGCGTACCGATTAATGATTACAGGAACACACGTGGACACTATTATCAGGTGTTTGATTTTGAGTGTAGAAAACTTAGATTGATTTTGTTTTTATTAACGCAAAATATATACTCAGTACCGTGCACTTTTATTATTGCATGAAATAAGGGATCATGGTATTGAATAAAGAATAATAAAAACGTTTTCTTATGAAGTAATTGATTTTTAAAGGCGATCAATGGGTGAAAGCACATCTATCTCTATCTCTTTCTCGGTTTTATATTTGAGTCCTGTTTTTATCATTTTTCTTATAATTCCTTCTTTCGCTTTGAAAAGAAATTTACCTCGGGCAAATATGTAATTTGATAGCCCTTTTCCGTCACCTTTTGAAAATATGTGAACATGACAATAAGGTATTACATCACCCAGACACAATTCTATATGCAATACACCTTACAGTGTAATGACAGAATATACCCTTATTATATAAGTTGATTTCTTGGAAGTTTTCGCAATCGCGATTTCGATCCCTCCCTCAACCCTTTACTCCACTATATCAACAGTTTTCCGTTGCAGCTATATTAGTCTGCAATTTAACAGAATATACGGAAAGAAATAGACAAACAAAACCAACAACACCAACACTGAGCAATGACTGTGAGCAATAAATTCGATATTTCAAGCAAATCGGCGCTATTAGGAATTGAGAAAAAATAACAGAGATTAGCAATAATTATTGTAGAAAATGTTGTTATCGTTCCATATTATGCTGGATCTATATTCATGGACCATTATGATGGCAGTGTGTTCTAAATTTAAATTTGATCTATAAATCTCGAACTGTTCCCGGATGTTTTGCAGCAAAAAACACATGTCCGTCTTTCAACGTAAACATTAAAATGCTGACTGCTCGACAAAATGTTACCTCTGATCTTCCTTGATGTCTGAGGCTCGATTAATTTAAAGAGAGGTTAGAAAACTCAGTCACTTTCTAAATTTTGAACTCTGTATTCACTTACTTCACATGGGCTCTAGTTTTGTAATGTTTAGTTGAGGCACTAACAAAGTGTAAACGAATAAAAACAGAGTAACGATATAAGGTCCATAGAGAACGAAAAATCGTATACTATTCGTATTCTGGAAATAAACCAATGATCAGGATAAAATTGATAACCTGCACTACATTCCAGAACCGATGATATTTTTGCTTTAATTTTATCTATCAATTTTTGTTATAATTATCTTATGTTGTTCCATGAACCTATACAATTCGGAAAGAGGCGCAACGGTTTTGTCCTGTGTTACATTGTGTGTGTATTTTTTCTTCTTCTTCTTCAAATTGTACCTTATCCATATAGGCTTTATAGGTTCTTTATAGGTATACTTAATGGTGAATTGTATTGTATTGTATTGTATTTATTTTCCGTCATTTAAAAATTCATCAACATAAATATATATATATTTTCAATCATAAAGACACACTTATAAAAAAGAAAGACGCAGGGATGGCCATACTCAGCGTTGTTAGCATAACAATGCTGGTTTACAGAGGGGTCCCTATAGACATAGAAATCATGAAAATAGATATTACAAAAGTAAGGAAAACTTACAGCAAGAGTGAAAGAGCGGTCGTCAATTGCACTTTTCGACTTAGAATCCCAATTTTTGGCAATTGAAGCTCATAACAGGAAATGTTGCTTTGCAATATTTATTGATGACCAATTCGGAGCCCAAAGCTGACAGGATATAACCACACTCCAAACCACATATAACGCTATTACGCATTAGAAAAAAGTGGATGGGAGCTTATATGGTTTGTTGTTGTTGTTGTTGTTTCGGAAAAGTGACTGAGTAATGAATGCACGAAAATTCCACGTTCTTTGGGCATCAATTTCTCGCGCTATTCTCAGTGGGCTTCCCCCGAAGTCTTGACTTGACTGGTATTCCCGTCACGGTCCGACGAAAAGGCGAATAATTCCATTAGATTTGGGAAACAGCCTGAATAATAATCGCCGGTCGGCAGATTATGGGCTCAAGGGGAGATTCATATAGGGTCACGAAGGGATCGGTGTAAGAGTCCGTGAACTGTGGAATAAAAACAGGGGGAAGTAGTTGCCATGGTTACGTTAGATTAGTAAAGAATGAAAAGTGGGAATTTAGGGAAAAAAGATACAGGGAGAGATAGAATCAGAACGAGAGAAAAAGAGGGGCTTAACGTTAGGCTCTGGTAAGTAGCTATGTGATGTTGCTTTCCAAAACCTTTATTACTGTAGAAGGTCATGAGATGCAACTTATTAGTGAATACAGAATATATTACTAAACGTTCTAACAATAAGTAGAATCTCATGAATTTAAAATGCATAATTTTAGAACTGTTCAAATAGTTCTTTAGAAATTATTTTTGTCTCGATCTTTGTATTTTAAATCTTTTGTAAGGATGACTTGACGTGGCAACATCAGAACAGAAATTACAATATTTTTTTACCATTAATACTGAACAGAACTATCTTTATATAAGATACATGACTGTGTAACATACAGTAGATCAAGGTACATGTCGCATTCATTCTTGCAGTTTAATTTTCATCAACAAATCAGTGAGAAACTCCATATGAATATAATTATAATGGTCAAATCTTCATCTTCGGGTGAAAGTTTGGGCCTATTTATGCTGTATTATACTCTTTTATGTAAAACAGCCTGTCCACAATGCTCTCAAAGTAATATTGACGTATATACAAAGTGGGTGAATGTCAAGGCCAATGTTTATCGTCTACCATGACTTAAGGGACCGTGGGCGTGATCCCCATGCACCTACATTTTAGATTGTATTTCCGTCCCGTATCCTAAGCTTCCGTTGTTCATTCAAGTGGATTGACATGTTTATTTATTCATTTTTTTGTTTTTTTGTTTGTTTCAATTTCCATTTTTAAAGACAATATCAGCTTATACATTAGATGATGATGATGATGATGATGATGATGATGATGATGATGACGATGATGATGATGATGATGAAGATAATGATGATGATGATGATGATGATGATGATGACGATGATGATGATGACGATGATAATAATAATGAATAATAAGAAATACAATGATAATAAAATATAAAATAAAGAACGTAACTATCTCCAAGCATTCAGGTTTTGGGAGGGGGGGGGCATTTTTTAAATTTGAGTTTGAGCTTCAGATATTACATCAAATAAAAACAAATAGACAGATGCAGACATAATGAAAGAGAAAATTAATAGGGGAGGTCTATTCCGGAAACCAGGAAAGGAGAAAGAGAGAAAGAGAAAGAGAGAGAGAGAGAGAGAGAGAGAGAGAGAGAGGCGAGAGGGAGAACGAAGGAGAGGGGGAGGAGAGATAGAGGAGAGTGTCTATCGGAAGGACATAGAGAGCCGTGGCGTATCTACATATTGATATAAACAGGGGTCGATTCCTCTCCAAATTTTGTTCCTTGACGTAGACACTCTGCAAGTAATATTGACCCGTTTTTTCTGATGGACCTTTAAACATATTGAGGGGGGTACGTCACTGGAGAAATGGACAGAAGTTATCATGGTCATCCAGGCTCACAAACATTCAAGTGTGCATTTATTTACTACTAATGTTTGAATAATTTTATTTTAAATGGAAGTTGGGACCGCTAATGAACAAGATGTGTATGAGCTCTTCCATCATTGTCTTCATTCATTTTTGGTTCCTCCATTTTCTTCGCCTTTTCGGTGATTATTCGTGAAAATCAGCATTGCCATAAGGAACGGTGCTTCTTGATAAATTGAGTGTCGCGTCTTTCTGATCGTAAACAATAGAGTAAGGGAAAAGAGATCGGGGATGCTGAGCTCCCTGCGGATCGACCATGAGTTGGAAACCAACTCGAATGAGTGAAGAGGTGTGAGAAAGTGTTGTCATGATTTTTTTTTTTTTTTTTTACAAATCTCTCCCTCAGTTATTATAAAAGAATAATTCATTTTTTAAAACTATTCTTAAAGCGATATCGCGAAAAGACTGCATCATAAATTAAAGCGCCGATGAAAGACAACAATTAAATATACCATTACTGATCAGGAAAAGAATTGCCAATCCATTTAGATCAAAATGTGCAATGCCTCATAATAACGCATTGCATATCTTTTGCATTCATGTGTTATTTTAATAGTCCGAAAATAGCCCATCAATCCTTTACGTAAATAGTATTTTTTTTTTCTTTTTTCTTAAAATGTTTGTTAGGAGGAAATCGATTTAAGGAGCAGAGCTACTATAGTTCAATGTTGCGATTCTGGACTCGTGATTACCATAATGATGTGTGAGATGGGCTGAAACTGCCGATGAACCAGAAATCCTCGTCCATTCCTTCATCAGTGGACTCAATGCAGGGTATAATAATATTTCTTGGCCAAGTCTTATCTTCCTTTTTTCGGCAGTGCAGTTGATGAATGAAACGGTACACAAATGAAGTATCTCTTGTACAATATGTTGGTTGATTCTCGACCCCATGCATTTTAGCGAGTGTTTTTTAAAAATTCCCTTTCCATAACTCATTTAAATGATTTTTCTTTTAAAATTTGTTATAGAGAAAGAGCAAAATATATGGAGCTAATATCAGTTCGTTATATAGCCCGTATACCTCAGGCCTATAGTTTGTAGAGTATAC